GACAAGGTTCTCGCCAACAGAACAAGTGGCAGTGTGTGCCAGTTCTAGGGAGGGCCCAATCCTCCAAGCTCTGCTGAACTCACTAAAATGGCAAGATCTAAAGCAACCTTAGAAATCATGTTGAAGTTGGCATCAGGCTGATCTCTAAACAACTACATAGAGCATCCCCCTCCCACTTCCTCAACCTGAAACTACCTGGACGTTGAGTAAGCAGAGAGGAAAAAAACTTCTATTTGGAGTCTGCTATAGTAGTTTAACCTACCCTAACTAATACAGGTACTAAATGTCAATACCATTAGGGTAAGACCTTGCTTCTGGAGCTGCACGTAGGGCCTTCGGTGCATAGAACTGAGTTGATCACAGGCCTTAGTTCATAGCACAGTATCACTTTCACCCACACATCTATCCATCCCTCTTTTGTTTCCCTTTCTTCCCTTCCTTCTCCATTCTAGTCCCATGCCGTTCCCTCCCAGATCCTATTCTATTGACAAAGATATATATCATCCTCCTTAAAAAATGTTGTTTTGTGTGTAATTTACTTAGCTGATTTTTTGCTGTAAATCTCATTGTTTCTTTCTTTCTTCACCTGGAGGCTATCATGTTGCTAAGGTCCTAACAGCCAACATCTGACTGCTTTTAAAACAATATTCCATCATATGCATACATACACCACACCATCTCTGGGTGTGGTTTGCTTATCAATTCCCTTAGTGATGGAAAGTTGCTTCCAAATTCTTGCTATCCAAACTGTACACAGATAAACATCCTTATGTGTAACATCTTGAGGATTTGTGCAAGTTTCTCTGAAGGATATAACCAGGAGTGGAACTACTGTCATGTATGTACATATTTAATGTATTAGTTATCTGTTGCTGTGTAACAACTACCCTAAATGCAAATTACCTACCCTAAATGTCTTAGCAGCTTAAAACAATAACAACTCACAGAATGAGAGAAAATATTTGCAAATCACTTATCTGGTAAGGAACTAGTAACCAAGATATATGAAGAACTCTTTATATAAGAGTGCATGTGTGTAAATATATGATACATATACACACACACACATATATATATATGTGACAAGTAACCCAAATGAAAAATGGGCAAAGGATTTGAATAAACATTTCTCTAAAACATATATAAAGATGCTCAACATCATTAGCCACTGGGAAAATGCAAATCAAAGCCATAATGAGATACACCACCTCACACCCACTAGGATGGCTATAATCAAAAAGACATTAAGAAGCGTTGGCAAGGATATGGAGAAATTACATTTCTTAGAAAGAATTTTGGCAGTTCCTCAAAAAGTTAAACATGGAGTTACATATGACCCAGCAATTCCCCTCCTAGGTATTAATATATATCCAAGAAAAATGAAAGCATACATCCACACAAAACCTTATGCACAAATTGTTCACAACAGCATTATTCATAATAGCCAAAAAGTAGAAACAACTCAAATACCCATCAAATGATGCATGGATAAATAAAATGTATATCCACACAAGGGAATATTATTTAGCCATAAAAAAGAATGAAGTACTAATATATGTTACCACATGGGTAAACCTTGAAAACATTACCCGAAGCTAAAGAAGCCAAATACAAAAGGCCACGTGCTGTCTGACAGTCCCATTCACATATCATATGAAAGTCCAGAATAGGCAAATCTACAGAAACAGAAAGTGATTAGTGGTTGCCTAAGGCTGGGGGAGCTGGGGAAAAGTGGGGGGTGACTGCTAATGGGTACAAGGTTTCTTGTATCCACAAGGTGATGACAATGTTTTAAAATTAATTGTGGTGATAGTTATATAACTCTGTGACATACTAAAAACCACTGAATAATACACTTTAAATGGGCAAATTATGTAATACATAAATTACCTCAATAAAGCTATTTTTAAAAACATACTAAACTTCTACTATGTCACAGCTTCTTTGGGTCAAGGACTTGGAGCTGGGTGTTCTGGCTCAAGATCTCTCGTGAAGCCGTGGTCAAGCTGTCGATCAGGGCTGCAAGCACCTGAAGGCTTAAAAAGAGCTGGAGGATCCACTTCCAAGGAGGTTCACTCACATGGTTGGCAATTTGGTGTTGGCTATTGGTGAGAGGCCTCAGTGCCTCTCCACATGGGCCTCTCCAGGGGGCTGCTTTAGTGTTCTCATGACATACAGGCTGGCTTTCTCTAGAGCAAGGATCCAAGATAGTACAAGGCAGATGCTTCATGTCTTTTATGACATAGCTTCAGAAGTCATACGCTTCCAGTACATGCTATTGGTTACACAGGTCAGCCATATTCATTGTGGGAGGGAACTACACAAGGGCTTAAATACCAGAGACCAGAAATTATTGGGGGCCATCTTGGAAGCTGGCTACCACACTTAATGATAATGATGACAATGATAATAATAATAGCTAGTAATTTTATGACACTGTGTGCCAGGCATTGTTCTAAGCTTATAATAAACCTAAGAGGTGGCCAGGTGCAGTGGCTCACACCTGTAATCCTAGCACTCTGGGAGACCAAGGTGGGAGGATCTCTTGAGGTCAGGAGTTGAAGACCAGCCTGAGCAAGAGCAAGACCCCACCTCTATCAAAAATAGAAAAAACTTAGCTGGGTGTGGTGGCGCACACCTGTAGTCCTAGCTACACAGGAGGCTGAGGTAATAGGATTGCTTGAGCCCAGGAGTTTGAGGTTGCATTGAGCTATGATGATGCCACTGCACTCTAGCCAAGGAGACAGAGCAAGACTCTGTCTCAAAAAAAAAAAACAAACACCTATGAGGTTGATACTATTATCTCTATTATACAGATGAAGAAACTAAGGCACAGAGAAGTGGCTTACCTAAGTCACACAGCTAGCAAATAACAGTGCTGGGATTCAAATTCAGGCAGTATAGCTCCAGAGCCACACTCTGAAAAATTATGCAATATTGTATCCTAGATATTACTTAATTTCAGTAAGTTTCACCCATTTGTTCTCCAGAATGGATGCACCAGCTGAAATTTTCCATGAGTCTTGCTTGATTCCCCATGAGAGTTCAGGCTCTTGCTTATTTTTGCCAAACTAATAGACGTAAAGTAGAAACTCAGTGTTTTAATTTGCATTTCTCTAATTACTAGTGAAGTAACACATTTAAGTAGCCATTTTGGTCTTCTCTTTTGATTTTACCTACTCATATTCTTTACATATTTTTATTTGGTGTTGTCGTTTTCTTCCTGATTTGCAGGAGCTCTCTCTATATTCAACCCCTTATATATGTAATCCTTTGCCAGTTTTAGACATTGCAAATATTTTCCCCTAACCTATACCCACCTTTAGCTTTGACTATGGGATGCTTTGCTGAATAAAAATCTTTAATTATGAAGTAGTCAAAACGATCTTATGGACTGTGCTTTGGGATCTTATTTAAGAAATCTATCTTCACTCCAAGGTCACAAAGACGTTCATCATTTGTTCCTACTAGCTTTATCATGTTACCTTTCAGTTAGGTCTTTAATTGCTTTGGGGTTTGTCTTTGTTTTATTTGGTATGAGGATCCAACTTTATTTCTGTCCATTTAAGCCTATTTTTCTGAGCACCATTATCCATCTCCCTCACTAATTTGTGAACCCACCTTTATCATACACCACATCCCCAAATATCTGTGTTTCTATTCCTGAGTCTAGTGTAATTCTTGTTTTCTCAGAGGAAGGATTTATCACTAAGAAAGTTTTTGTTCACATTGAATTCTAAATTAATGAAAAATCCAACTATCACCCCCATGATCCCCAGGGATGCAATATAAGCTTATATTCTTCCCCAAAACAGAATACCCGGTTGAGAATACAATTTTAAAAAAATAAATGTATGTTTATTTAAAAAAGAAAAAGAAAATCCCTAATTAAGAAGAAACCCTGGCACACTGAGAAATCAGTGCTTCCTCTGAAAGCCAGCAACTGCCAGTGTTGTCATACCTGAGAAGTACAGGTACCTCAGTCCCAAGATCAGGTCTAGAATATTCTTCTGTGGCCAAAACTGGCATTCAACAAGTAGCTGGCTTGTGTGCGCCCTGATTATTAGCACAGACAACCGTTATATCTGGATGTCTTGCTGTTCTCTGCCCACTTACACAACCCACAGCCATCCCCACAGCCTCAGAAAAGTTACATATCTTCAACACTCCATTTGTAGGCAAGTTCCTCCACTGCCTTCTTGCTGGCAAGTCTGGCAAAGCGCTTTTGTTCAAAACCATTGGATCTGTAACCAAAAGAGATACATTATTCAGACAGAACCTTGAACTGGACATTTATTTTAAAAGAAAGAGAATAAACAGTTCACAATATAATAAGTAGTGCAGAACATAAGGCAGTTATATGAAAATATTTAAGGCATAAGCAATAGAACCAAAGGGACAAAATATATAATTTATCTTTTCTCAGTCTTTGTTCAAATGCTTCTCCTGCCATTCTTCAACAACTATTTCAAATCTTTACCACTCTCTAAAGACCTAACTCATTCTCAGCTGATGGTCACATCTTATACTTTATCCATTCATTAAACAAACATTTATTGAATTCTCATTGAATACTAGGCACAGTAGTAGCTACTGTATGAAAATGAGAATGACATAGCAAATGAGTTGGGGAGAGAGACATTTAAACAAATAATTAAAATAAGAGCATAAACTATAGTAGAACTATGCCCAGGCTATCATGGAAACAGAATGGGGTCCTTACTCAGCTTGGGGGAGGCATGGTAAAAAGGATACTGAGGGATGGGTAGGAAAGGCCTCATGTTCACCAGAGGGCTGGAGTTGGGGAGGGCCAGAAGGGTCTGGAGGTTACTTCGGAACAGAGCACAGCGTGAGCAACAAGAGTAGAGGCACAGAAATAAGAAGTAGCCTGGTATGTGGAGGAACCAAAGGTAAACTGGTATGGCTAGAGCCTGCAGCATGACAAAGGGAGTAACCATGAGTCAAAGCTGGAAAAGCAGGCAGAGGCCAAATCATAATGAGCTTCGTAGGCCATGGTAAAGAGCTTAGATTCCATCCAGAAAGGATGGGTTTAAAGCAAGAACATAAACTGCATTTCAAAAGATCACTCTGGAGGAGATCAGAGGCAGGAAAATCACTGCAATGGTCCAGGTAACAGATGACGAAGGCAATGACAAAGAAGGACAAGAGAGAGAAGACACAGGAGACAAAATTAGTAGGACTGCACGAATGATTAGGTACATAAGGACAAAGAAGAAGAAGGTAAGTCTGCCTCACAGGTCAGTAATTTGAGTGACTAGATGAATGAGGCTGCCACTAACCAGGACAGAGAGCACAAGAGTAGGAGCAGGCTTAGAGTAGGGGAAGCTGGTGAGTTCAGTTCTAAATATGTTCAAGAGACAAATTCGACACCCAGCTAAATACACCAGACCAACCTGGAAATACAGACTTGAAAATCATGTACATGCAGGTGGTGGTTGAAAATATGACTAGGTAAGATTCAGCCAGAGTGAGAACGCTAAGGGTTATGGATGGAGCCCTGAGAAACATTTAAGGAATGCACGGAGGAAGAGATGCTCACAAAGGTGGCCAAGAAGAAATGATAAAAGAATCAGGAGTAGGGTGTTACGGAAGCCAATACAGGGGTGAGTTTCAAGGAAGTAGTAAATGGATCTCGAATTCCTTCAAATTACTATGCATTCTCACAGTCTTATCTAAACTTATCACAGTCTCATCTAAACTTCTTGAAAGAGCCTGTATTCACTGTCCCTGTTTCCTCATTTTTCATTCACTCCTTAACGTGTTAGAACCTGGCTTTTGTTTCACTATGCCGAAAGCTAGCTCTTTTTTCAGGTCATCAATGACATTCCTCGTCACCAAATCCAATGAATCCTCCTTCCTTCTCCTCAAATCAGTCAAAGGTCTCACCACCTTATCCCCTAACCGTTTCCCCACTTCCTCTTCTCTTACTACTATCCTTACTACCACTGTCTGGAGGTCACAGTTCAGATCTTTATCACCTTTAACCTGAGCTACTGCAACACCTGTGTCTCTACTCTCTCTACTTCCAAATTTATACCTTTCAAATCCTTCACATTACTGCAATAATGATTTGTCTACCTAAAATGCAGAGCTGCTTTTAATCCTTCAATGGCTCCCTTTGCCTCTAGGGTGAAGACCAAGCTCCTCAGAAAGTCTTCCAAGGTGTTGTGACCAGGCCCCTGCCCACCTCTGCTGTACACCTCATTCAAGTCCATTTCACACTTTGTGCGATCCAACAACAGCAAACTGCTTATTCCCGCCCACCCCCCACTCCCCCATAACACCATATCCTTATGACTGCACATACAGGACCCTCTTCCTTTAACACACTTCCTTTTTATCTTGGTTGGTTACCGACATTTAGGAAGCATTCCCTTACCACATCCTCCTAAGGCTGAATTTACTCTTCCTTTGTGCTCCCAAAACGCCCTGAAAATCCTCTATAGTAACACTAACCAAGTATTAGGTTGGTGCAAAGGTAACTGTGGTTTTAGCATTGTTGAAATTTGCCATCTGATATTGGAATACATTCTTAAATGTGGTTATGCTATATACATCATTTTAATCCACATTTCTCACTTTATGCTTTTTTGATAATGACTTATTACTTGCTGTTTATTTTATATTTATTTTAGACTATGGAAATGATGTCAGACAAAAAGCAAATTCAAGAAATTTTCCTATACGAGTTCGTAAAGCAGCAGAGACAACCTGCAACATTAACAATGCATTTGGCGCAGGAACTGCTAACAAGCATACAGTGCAGTGGTGGTTCACGAAGTTTTGTAAAGGAGATGAGAGCCTTGAAGATAAGGAGCGCAGTAGCCGGCCATCGGAAGTTGACAATGACCAATTGAGAGCAATCATCGAAGCTGATCCTCTTACAACTATAGGAGAAGTTGCCAAAGAACTCGATGTCGACCATTTTATGGTCATTTGGCATTTGAAGCGAACTGGAAAGGTGAAAAAGCTCAATAAATGGTTGCCTCATGAGCTGTCCAAAAATCAAAAAAATTGTTTTTAAGTGTCATCTTTTCTTGTACGCAAAAACAATGAACCATTTCTCAATTGGATTGTGACATGTGATGAAAAGTGGATTTCATATGACAACCAGCGACAACCAGCTCAGTGGCTGGACCAAGAAGAAACTCCAAAGCACTTCCTAAAGCCAAACATGCACCAAAAAAAGGTCACGGTCACCGTTTGGTGGTCTGCTGCTAGTCTGATCCACTAGAGCTTTCTGAATCCCAGTAAAACCATTACATCTGAGAAGTATGCTCAGCAAATTGAGGAGATAACCAAAAACTGCAACGCCTGCAGCCAGCGTTGGTCAACAGAAAGGGCCCAATTCTTCTCCACAACAATGCCTGACCCAGTCGGTCACACAACCAATGCTTCAAAAGTTGAACAAATCGGGCTACAAAGTTTTGCCTCATCCGCCATATTCACCTGACCTCTTGCCAAACAACTAACACTTCTTCAAGCATCTCAACAACTTTTTGCAGGGAAAATGCTTCCACAACCAGCAGGATGCAGAAAATGCTTTCCAAGAGTTCGTTGAATCTCGAAGCACAGATTTTTACACTACAGGAATAACAAACAAACTTATTTCTCATTGGCAAAAATGTGTTGACTATAATGGTTCCTATTTTGATTAATAACGATGTGTTTGAGCCTACTTATAATGATTTAAAATTCGTGGTCCAAAACCTCAACTACTTTTGGACCAACCTAATAGCATTGAAATTACTTGTCTATCTTCTCCTCCAGATAGAAAGTGAACTCCTAGGCCCAGGGACTGTCTTACACTAATTGTGGAATCGCTGGTTCCCAATACATAACTACTTAAAGTTATAACATGTATGCTAAGGCCTTTCCTAAGGGATAAGTGAGGTGACAGAGGGCTTTAGATAAGTGATGTGCTAGAGGAAAGAAGGAAAGCTTACTATAAACGGCATCATTTCCAACCTTGGAGACATGAATGGTATTCCAGAGCACCAAGAAACCACTGTTTTTTGCCCTGGGGAATAAGTATTTAATACTTAGGAGAATAAACACTAATATGGTAATGCAGATAAAAGAGATATGAATAACAAACCAAATCCCAAGCAGAATCAAAAAACAAACTGCAGGAGAATTCACAGTAGAGAGAGCTTTGGACTAGAGAATCAGGAACCCAGGGTCCTAATTTCAGTTTTATCAGGTGAGCTGCATGACTCTAGGCAAACTGCTTATTTATTGGACTTCAGCCTCTCTTTTAAATAATGCGGGTTAGATTAATTGATCTTATGGATTTTTCTGACTGTAACATACTATAGATCTGTTCTGGAAATATTCCCTCGCAATGAGCCAAAAAGAGACACAACTATTAATAGAAAAGGTGATGAAAGAATAAATAACACAAAGAAAGCAAGGATGACAAAGGAAAATAAAAGCAGAAATCTAGGATAAAACCAGAAAAAGAAGCAGAGAAAAGCAACTACAAAAGATGAAAAATTAAAGAGCAGTAAAACACTAGGTCAAGGAGAATTCTAAGTTTTGGGCACCCACCCCAGCCAAAAAAAAAAAGACTCAGTGTAACAGGAACATCTGTAGGGTTATGGCTGTCAAAATACCGACTTCTGGCTATATGGCAAATTAGTGTTCTGAAAAATTCTACTACTACCAAAGAGCCTATATACATTGAGCTGCAAACCAAAGAAGTAAACTAGCCTGAAACCACAGCCACACTAAGGCACCCTGAGGGACAGAAGACAATGCCGTAGGCCCATATAAGATCGGGGGTGGATTCCAGTCATGGTACAATAACTAGAGCAGACTAACTTACCCTCAAGTAGCAATTATAAAAGACCTAAACAAGATCAGAAATGCAAGTATTTCAAAGTATTTGAAGGCATGGGAGAGCAACCAAAAACAGGCATAAACTGGGTGGTATCCATGTGTGAAAAGAGATTTGAGTCTTTTTGCCAGAGGGCAACTTCCCAATCTGCACAGCTCAGGAAAGCAGAAAGCCACGGGCTTACTGGCATAAGGTGTCAGTGCAAAGTAGACAAAGCAACTAGAAAATTAGGGGAGAAATCTTGCAAGGGAAGGAAGTGCAATAGGGATGAACCCCAAAGTCTACAACAAACTCCACTCAAATCCTTGGCTAACTATTGAACTATGCATGTGCAGAGAAAACCACATCAGGCTCAAAGAAAAAGGAGCAGCTAGAAACAGAAGGAACTGAGCAGAGATTTTAGTTACTATCCACTTCAAAGGAGACAGTGTGGAGTTCAAACACAGCCATGTTAACTGTCTGTTAGAATAAAAGCCAACATACTTAAGAGGAACACAGTATAATAGAATCTAAAGTCTCTACAATATATCATTCATAATGTCTACTAATAAAAAAATGACCATACTTGTAAATAAACAGGAAAATATGATACATATTCAAGTAAAAGCTGTCAATAGAAACCAAGGCTATTGGTTGAGAAGACAGGACTTCAAAATACCAATTATACATTATAGATATTCTCAAGAAGATAGGACTTCAAAATACGAATTATACATTATAGATATTCTCAAGAAAGAGGAAAATGTCTCATAATAAATAAACAGACAGGAAATCTCAGCAGAGAAATATAAGCTATTGAATGGAAATTTCAGAGTTGAAAAACAATCAACCAGCTGAAACAAAAAATCCACAACTGACAATAATTGACAGAAAGAACAAATTAAAAAAAACCCAGGATACAGGTGATCCAAACACTATTAACCACCTTGACCCGATTGACATTTGTAAAACACAACCCCAAATAACTAGAGAATATACATTCTCTCCTAGTACAAATAGAACATTCACAAGGTAGACTGCATACTGGGCCATAAAACACATCCTAATAAATTTCAAAAGATCAAAATATTATAGAGTATATTCTCTGACCACAAGGGAATTAAATCAGAAGTCAATAGCAGTAAGACACCTAGAAAAGTCCAGATATTTGGAATTAAACAATGCACTCCTAAATAACCCATGGATCAGAGAATAAAACAAAAGGAGAATTAGAAAATCTTTTGAACAAAATCCAACATACACTCATGAAAAACAACTCTCAGCAAACTAGGAATAGAAGGGAACTTTCTCAACCTGATAAAGCTGCGGTCCCCACGCGGTCCGCAGCCTGTTAGAACAGGGCCGCGTCACCACCTGAGCTCCCACCGCCCCCACACCCCACCCATGGAAAAATTATCTTCCATGAAACTTAGGAACCTGCCGCACAGCAGGAGGTGAGCGGCTGGCGAGCTAGCAAAGCTTCACCTGTATTTATAGCCACTCACTCGCATCACTGCCTAAGCTCCACACCCACCCCATCGGTGGAAACACATTTAATGGTAAAAGACTAAATGTTTTCCTTCTAAGATTAGGAAAAAGGCAAAGATGTCTGCTCTTACTATTTCTATCCAACATCTGCACTGGAAGTGCTAGCTAATGCAACAGGGCAAGAAAAAGAAACAAAAGGTGCCCAGACTGGAAAGGAAGATGTACAGCTGTCTGTATTCAAAGATGGAATGACCCAAAGGATGGACATATTTGAAACTCGGACTTGGGGGGGGGGGGCAAGAGGGCAATATATGTAACCTAAACATCTGTACCCCCATAATATGCTGAAATAAAAAAAAAAAAAAAAAGATGGAATGATCCTCCAGGTATAAAATCTGATGGAATCTATTTTAAAAAGCTATTGTACATACTGAGCTTTACTTGAGGGAAAACAACTGACAATATTTGTTGTCAATGATAAAATGCAAGATTTCAAGTGTAAATTAAAATTTTAAAAAACCATATGTGTCACCATGCACTCTTTAGCTTTGCATTATTTAAAGACTTCTGTGATAAGATCAGAGGTGATGTTAACAAAATTGATTTTTTGGATACTGTATAGTGAAAATACGTCAACGTTTGGAGGTATATGAAACACTTAGCAAATCAATATTTTACAAATGACCAATGCATGGTGTTGTAAAATCATGCGTGGGTAAAAGAGTCACTCAGAGTACAAAAAGATCAATGGGTTTTAATATAACAGTATGAAAGTTCTTTGATCTGATTTCAGATACCACGTAACTAACCTTTAAGAAACTAGCACTTGCTGAGTTTTTGTGTAATGTCAAAAAATATAAAAAGCCTTCCTTTTCTAACTACCTATGTGTGAGGCTGAATTTTCTTCCTATACTTCAGCTGAACAACATATCACAACAGACAAATACAGAATCAAGCTGTCTACTATCAAGCCAGACATTATTGAGATTTGCAAAATTGTAAATCAATGCCATCCTTCTATTTTTCCATTTGGAAAATATAGTTATTTTTCATAAAAACATATGGTAACTATGTTAATATGAAATGGCTTTATTATTTTTTACAATGAATTAATACATACTTTTTAAACATGTCAGTTTTGATTTCTAATATGGTAAATATCAATAGATATAATCCACATAAAGAAAAGCTTTTTGGGGTTCTCAGTAATTTTTAAGAGTATAAAGGAGTCCTGAAATTAAAAAGTTTGAGAATCATTGTGCTAGATATTAAAAAAAGGCCTTTAGTAGGCAAGAGGAGATGGGGTCTAAAATGTAAGCAGAGGGACTGAATTTGGATAGGAGCAAATATAGTTCATTCATCATAACATACAGGAATTTAGAGTATGGGGGTGCAGATGCTGGTAGACAGACAGATGCTAGCAGGTGACAGGGATCTGTGAGACATTACAAGTGACTCAAAGACACAACATACAGGAGGCTTCACACCACAACTCATCACTCATCCTCTTCAAACCTAAGAAAATAACATTAAAAGTGACCAATATCTGAAACAAAGATGTCCAATCTGAACCACCTGAGTAGTTTGTCCAGAGCTTTAAGAAATATTTTGAAAAAGAAACAGAAGGAGGAGTGTTCCAAGCACGGAAAATAGGATTCGTGCACCTCACAAATAAAAGCAAGGTAAGTGCATATTTTTCACCTTGTGGTTAGAACACAGAATGAGGAAGAGCGTAGAATGATTTAAGAATGGTTAGGGAAGGTTAGAGTCTGGTGGAAGAGAAAACAGAAATGTCGGGAACACTCAGGCTTACCTGTCCACTCCATCCCAGCGATATCCAGGCCAGATATTAAATCTGTTGGGAGGAGGTGCTGGACCACTGTAGCGAGGTCTCACTAATGAGAGCGAGAAAAAAGAAGTTAGTTATCTACATAATTTAATTCAGAGCTGATGGCAATGGGGAAAAAGTTTCTATACAGAAAAATTAATTGAGTGGAATCTAACTCACAGACAAATAAAATGAATTTAAAACTTTATGAGAAAGGATTCTTTGCACATAGCTGTTATCAGCACTCTAATGACTGTCTCTCTTCATATAAGTCACTTCCAGCTCTGATGAATCCCAAAAGTCCCACCTTTCTTATTCTTGTTCTCCTTGGCCTTGTTCTTCTTGATGAAGTTGGCCATGGGGTCTCCCTCTCTTTCTTGTTCTCTTAACATCCGATCCAGATCTTCATCGTCAATATAGCGGGCCAGAGGCTTTTGCATCTCCTTCATTGCATCCTCTACATTTTGTTGCTGTTGCCGGCTCTGGGCAAGCCTGGGCAAAAAAGAACCAAGAGTGTTTGCTATCCTGTTTGACATTCCCACACCAACACTGAGATGGACCACACTGCTAAATTTGGAGAACCTCCTCTTTCTAGTAGCCTAGGCCAAATATTAAAAAGAATAAAATTCCTAGAATACCAACTAGCAGTGTGGGATGCATCAGTACACTAGGTAGCAGATTCAGCACACAAATTTCTCATTCCTGGTAACAGCTTTGAAGGCAGAACAATGAACTAATGGTCAGAAGAGCAAAGAAATCACTTGCTCCAGTCACTGCCATTTTGTTTTCCCTTTCAGTGGTTCCCTTACCCTTTTCCCCACTGGGCATACAGTTCATCTCTCTCTGAGTCCTTCTCTGCTTTCCTCCTTTGCTCTAAACGTTCCAGTTTCAAATTCCTCTTACGACCAGACTTATCTCGAAATACAGTTTCAGCATGTTGGAATTCAGCTGCAAAAGGAAATTACACTTTTTACGATAAATACCAGGTATCAAAATAAGAAACAATATTCTAACAGATAAAATCAACCTGTTAGGGTTCTGATGCTAGATAAGAACTTTTGCAGCCAGATCACAAGTTCCTACCAACATCTAGCTGCATACTGGTGCTGGGCCTGAGAGATGACATTTTTCAAGAAGGAAAGAATGACTTGGACTCACTGAGAAGTTAAAATAATATGTAAAACCAGAACTAAAATCTGATGGCAATCAAAAGTTTAAAATATCAGGTACAATAAGCTACATTAAAAAAGAAATAAAAGCTACCTAGCCTAGATTGGTCTCTGAACTTTTCATATTTTTACCTTCAAATGCCGTCGTTTCTTGGTCCCATTTCTTGAGCTCCTGCTGCTCTCGCTGTATGTCAGTTAACACCAACCCAGTTTTAACCCCAGAATACATATGTGCAGCCTATGCAATGGAAAAGGGAGCATCCAACATTAATGAGACAATGCAGCGGTAGGCTCCATGGGTATACAGTTAATTGCATTTTTGTCTGATGACCAGCAATAACCAAACCAAAAACTCTAGCTTTATATTCTCATTATTTACCACAGGATTCACAAAATATAAAAGAAATAAAATCTAATTTCATGGAAAACTTAATAGTACAATAAGTTTAAGAGTAAGCAGAAACACAAACCAACAATACGTCAAAAGGACAGCTAAGCATTTGTATTTCTGACTTTTCAGTACACAAACTGCACACATGAAAGACTCACTCTCAGGCCATCTGATCAAAAGCCAGTATCAAGCTCTAAGAGACCTACCCTGTTAAAATACTCCATTTAAAGTACAAACTCAAGCAAACCTAAGACATTTAAATTGTGGATATATTTCAGGATAACAACAGAATATATAACCAAATGAAAATTTTTTACTAATATCCACTTTGTACCAAAATAGCAAACCAACTCACAAATGGAGTATGCAGTATACTCTGATATCCTTAAGCAAATAAATTTGATTAATCTTAAAATGGTCCATGGACTAAACAGATACATAAAAATGTCAAAGGGTCCAGTTGAAACAGAGACCTCACTTTGTTCCCCCAAAGAAAGAAATCTCACTTCCTGGGTTAGAACAGGCTACTGGTCTACCCTGCCAGAACCAGTCCTCTCAAAGTCTTCTACAGAGGAGACGTACCTGGGAAGTCTGCCTTGGAGAGTAAAATGCACGCCATAGGCTCCCTCATTCTCTTTCTTAAAAAATTCACAAATGAGATTCCTTTACTACTACTAGCATTCTTTATAATATTAGTACTCAGCGTTCGTGTGGATTTTTTTTATGGCTAATTCATCAAGCTTTATCACGTATTTAAAACAAAACATTGGGTGGGGGGGGAACCAAGGGCAACACACGTAACCTAAACATATGTACACCCATAATTTGCTGAAATAAAAAAAAAAAAAAAAAGAAAAAAAAAAAGAAAACAAAACATTGACTTCCCAGAAAATACAATTTCTAAAAGTAGTTTTTATATTTTAAGTATCTCTCTTTAAGCTCTGGATAGAGAGACCTGTAGTCCAATTTATAATAATAAATCACTAACACTAAATGCTTACTTTGTCCCAGGCACTGTGGTAAGAGTTTTACTTACGCTAACTCATTTAATTCTCACAATAACCTTATGAAGTAGATACTACTGTTATTCACATTTTACAGACAAAGAAGCTGAGTTTTAGAGATATTAAGTATTTTGCGTAAATCTCACAGATAAAATTAAGAGGCAGAAATAGGATTTGAATATGAGATCCATTTAACACAAGGTTTGTGCTCCTAAGTCCACTCTGCAAACTATAGCCTCAGTTTATTTATAAGAAAATAGGAAGTTTTTCTGGAACTATTAAACTGAGATTTGTAAACTGTAAGGTTATAAGGGCAGAAGCTACTTGGGATATCTGGTATTTATAAATCCATCTGGGCTGGGTTACAGCCAGCTCTGCCTTCAGAGAGAAGGAAAGAGTTCCAAAGATTCTTTTAACTAAGATTTACTACATTTCCAAGAGCTATGTCCTTCTCCTCTGGCTTGATTCTCTGGGACTTGTACAAAGCTAGAAGAGCAGAGCCACTGTAAAAGAAGAATATGACTCCTGACAATCCTTACCTTCTTTCCAGAAGGCTGGCTCCTTCGAGGTGGAGACAGATCAGAATCAGAAGATTTGGTCCTCTGTTTCCTCCTTGGTGGAGAGAGGTCAGAATCAGAGCTCTGGTGTCTAGGCCTGTTCCGTGGAGGTGACAGATCTGAATCAGAAGCCTGATGTCCTGTACTTTGTTTATGCCGTGGAGGAGAAAGATCTGAATCAGAGGTTTTCTGGCCATCACCTGGGTAGGAAGAATCCAATGTGTGACTCTGTTGTCTGCTAGGTGAAGAACTTTTATGAAATTTCCTATGGCTGGGAGAAGAGCCTAGAAATTAAAGAATAATTTATCTAATCCCCTTGGAAAAACCTAAAAAAAAGACTTTACCAAGCTAGTGCACAGTATTTGTTTAGTCTTTCTGTGAAGAACTATCATTAACCTAAACACAAACATGGATGACATGGGAAAAGAGCAAAGTCAAGGACAACTTTTATGATCAACAGGTAGAATATGGGGTTCTATTCCCAAGTGACTAGTGACTGTGACCGGTATGTGAGATCTCAACACACTCATCGACTATATCCTACCCCCACAATGGGCGAAACAACTTGTGGTGTGGCAAAAGTCAGAAATACCTAGAACATATCCTGATGTTCTCAGACTAAAGAATAACAAAGCATTTTAATTTACAAATTAAAATAGTACCTAGGAACAAAAGATGGAGTAAAAAATCTCACCACACAGGTCTAAGTTCTAGATGTGTGTGTGTATAAGCATCACAAATGACCACCCGAAGAGCAGTATGTGTCAACAGTCTCAAAAACACCCACACCTTCTGACCCAGGAAATCAACTTCTTAGTTTGCTAGGAAACCTATCTAGACGTAACTCAATTTCCAGGAAATCTATCTAGAAGTAGATAAGGAAATAACCCAAAATAGGGACAATAGTATACAAGGATGTTCATCACAGAACTATAAAAGCAAAAACTTAGAAATAACCAAAAACATGCAACATTAGGGAAACGGTTAGGTAAATTTACATAATGGACCACCATTAACAATTATATTAACATAGAGTTGTTTTTATGGCACAAGGAAGATTAAGTAAAAAGAACAGGCAATATTACACATATAATATGTACGTTCTGCATAGCCAAGGCTCGGTTACATCAAAAATGCCTATCAAAAAAACTAAAAGGACACTGGCTACAACACTGATTGCCTCTGGAAATCTGTGTCACTTTTTTTCTGATTCTTTATACATTTCTGTACATTCTGAAGCTTCTACAACAAATACGTTGTACTTTTATATGAGATGGGGAGAGTAAATAAAAGGATATA